CCCGTGCTCCCCTCCCCCACACCCCCGCAGTCGGCTGCGGCGGCAAGCCCGGGGAGCCTGGTTCTGGCGTGGCTGCCCTGGACACCAAATACATCGAGGAGGGATCCTTCTACTGCAAAGACCCCAGCGTCCTCAACTTGAAGCCAAACATCGCGCAGCCCATACGGTGGGTCCCGCTGTTATTGCAGGGGCAGGTGGCCCGGCTGCGCGGGCCCTCTCCATGCACGGCGGCCCCGCAGGCCTCCGCTTCGGTTTGCGGGGTCCACCTAGGGGCTGGCTCGGGGCCCGCCGCGGTGGCGTTGGGGCGAGCAACGCGTACGATGTGCACGCGAGCGCCGGGGTCGCGTCCTTGTAGATGTGGCGTCGCTTTTGATGTGCCCCTGAGAACCCTGCTACCTGACTTGATCGACCATGCCGCGCCGTCGTCGCCGGCTGAGTGTTTCCCTCTGCTGCTCCCCCCCGCACTCGTGCCGCTACCCCCCTCGCCGGCGGCCCTGCCCCGCCCGTGCTACCCTGGCTGCCCCCTATCGCCCTCCCTCTCGCACCCCACCCTTGGCCCTCATCGCGCCCCCCTCCCCCGCGCGCCCCCGGCACCTTCCGCGCAGCTGCACAAGCTACCAGCCGAGCCTGGGCGGCTTCTGCTGGAACCGCCAGCCAGACTTCTCCGCCTACAGGGAGCCCACCTTTGGCGCAGCTTCCCTGAAGCTTCTCAACGCCACCCACGCCGACTGGAAGTTCTACCGCACCAGCGAGAAGACAAAGCAAGGATATGAGGTGGCGGACGGGGTTATAATCAACAGGCTCGACCAGAAGGGCTGCCCCAACCATGCGTTCCTGTGAAGTTCCCCGTGAAGTTGCATTCCAAGCCGCTTTTTATGAAGGCGCGATTGCGAAGGCGTCGCCCGCCCTGCGTGTTGAGGGAGGACGGGCGCGGGCAGGGGTGGCGGCAGGGGCTGCGGCCCGGGCTTTGGCAGTTTTGCGGATGGCAGTTGGCAGTTGGCGGCGCTTTCGAATGGCCCGCGGGCGGATGATGGGTCAATCAGGCTGAGTTTGCCAGCCGTTGGGTTGCGGGGTCGATGATGTCGAAGCAATGCATCACACACACTTGATGGACAGCCCGAACCTTTTCAAAATCGCTCAACCACACTGCCACATTGAGTTGGCGCATGCCAAACAACCCATGTTCATCACTTATGCCTCTGCTGCTGCTCTGCGCCGCATGTTGCCTCTGTAACCTGAATTCCTTTGACGATGGAGCGGGCAGGGTGAGCAGCATGTGGACGTGTCCAACAGCAGCCTACAGAAACGCGCGCGCACACACACACACACACACACACACACATGCACACACTCACATGCACAAGCCCCTTTTTCTGGCACAAGCTGGTGCTGCGGGTTGCGGCCGTTGTAGTGCCCCAACACCGGGCTGTGAGGGTATAGAGCAGGTGTCACGATGACATCAGCAGGGGTCTGTCAGGTCACAAAGCGGTCAGCGAGTGCACATGGCGACTAGACACAGGTGCACCGACAAGCAGAACTGTGCCCGGCAGGAAGGCGTGGTGCTCTGAAACCTTCCAGCTCATGCCGCAACCGACGCAGGCGACACTGCTGAAACGCTGTTGTCTAACCAACACTGCTGGGCTGTCGTGTATCCACGGTGAAACATGAGTGGTCACTTGAGGTGGCCGGTGCTCCTATGTGTACGCGTCATTTGCACAAAACAATGATGTAATGTGGCATGCCGATGGATCTGTTTACAGAGAGTACGGCCCAAAAAACACCGCGGCGCTGGCCAAAACTCGTTTCACACCAGCGCAGCCGCGCGCCATTGCAGGATCGCTGGGCGCCTCTGGCTCACAGCCCCGCGGCCTGCCCGGCATGCGGCGCGTGCCGACACAGGCGCGGCCGCCGCCTCCCCCGCACACCGCAGGCCCCCGCTCGAGCAAACGTTGGCTGTGGCGCAGCAAATCATGATTGGTGAATGGACTCCCATCAAACCTCAAACCGATTGGGCCCTCTTCAAGCTGATTGCGCCGCGTCCAATTCGCAGCTAGCTGATCCTGGGCGCCCGTCGCAGCCTGGACTGGCCCGTCGGCAGGCCATCCGCTGAACCCAAAGCAGCCACGGCACCGTGACCTCGCCAAACACACAGTCGCAGCAGCGCCTTCAAGCGCCGCAGGACGGCGGGCCGCGGCGGGAGCACGGCGGCGCCGGCGGCGCCGGCAACGCCGCAAGTGGCTGCGCGCTAAGTCACGCCGCCTTGGGCTGCGTGCAGGACGGGGCGCCGGCTCCTTTCAGCAGGCGCGGGTCCCGCCGATGCCTGTCACGGGCCCGCCGCCGCGGTGGGCGCGTCGCTGGCCTGGGCAGCGGCTTGCGTCGGCTGCCCGCGCTCACCCCACAGCTGCGGCTCGCCCCGCCTGTCCGGGCCGCCGTCAACAGCACCGACACGAGCAACCGCCGCTGCTGAGCGCCAAACTCCCAACTGCCGAGCCTGCCGGCCGCTCCCATGCTTATGCCGTGCGCCTGCGCTGACGCCCCCGCCGCCGCGGCGCGCGGCACCGCTCACAGCTCCTTGCTCCACCCGCCGCCGCCCGGCGCCGCCGCCGCCGCGCCACCGCCGCCGCCGCCGTCTGCAGCGCCGCGCGCCTCCAAGAAGGGCAGCTCCACCTCCTCGGCAGCTGCATAGAAGCTCTCGATGTCGTAGTGGTCCCGCTGGTCCGGCGTGAACACGTGCGCCACGACTAAACATGACATCATCACGCGCGGCAGAAATCCCGAGGGGCGGGCGCGGGGGTGGGTTTGAGAAGAGATGGCAGGCCGCGCGGCGAGCGATTGATAACGGTGGCGTGTCGCGTTGGGGCGTCACGGCCTCAGCTGTGCAGATGCCTGCGTGCCCCATGCACCCCCCTCCCCACATCGTGCTTCCCAGTGCCGTGCTCGGCGCCTTCAGGTAAGGCACCCTGAGTCGCTATCAATAACGCACCATCTCCGTAATCGAGGATCTCCCAGGGGCTGCTGCCGGGGCTGCGGCGGTACACGCGTGTGTGTGTGTGTGTGTGTGTGTGTGTTGCGCGTTTAAGTTGTGGTCGTGTGTGTTGCGGCAACGTGTGGGGGGTGGGGGGGTGACTTGCGGAGGAGGATCTTTAGGCAATCAGGAGACATCTGCACACAGGGGCAAGCGGATATGGTATACACACGCACGCACTTACACACACTCTTTCACACAAACACGTACTTTTACACACAAACAAACACACACACACACATTCACGCAAAACAACCCACACACACCGTCACGCATGCGAGCACCGCAAGCCCACCTGTTCTGTTTGACGCGGCCCCAGTCCTCCTCCGCCGCCTTCTCCATCCGCGCCAGCACCGCCAGCAGCTGGGGCTTCGACACCACGGAGCACATCACAAAGTAGGAGGTCCACGACACCAGGGGCGCCTGGGGGACGAGCATGACGAGGATTGGACCCGGATTCAGCGCCGCAGCAATGGTGGAAGGGCGACGGGTAAAGGATGGGACGGGCGCGAAGCGCCTGCCCCTTGATGCGTCGCGCAGCGCGCGCGGGCGTCCGCCCCGTCCCCGAGCCGCCGCGTCCGGCGCGGCGGGGGGCGGGCCGGCAGGACGGGTTTCGAAAACAACCACCGGCCGAGCGGCTGCGAAAAACCTCCGGGGGGCTTTTGGCCTCACCACGTTGAGGACCACCAGGTCCTGCGCCTTGGTGTCATCGGCCACCTTGGCCAGGGCCACGGCAAACGCCTGGGCGCACAGAGCAGTGGTAGGGGGTCAGGTTCAGGTGCAATGCAGAGCAGGGCAAGGTCGGAGGCGGGGAAGCGAGCGTGGAGGCGAGGGTGCATGCCTTTGTGTGGGGCGCACGAGGGAGGAGCGGAGTGTGTGGGACGGGGCGGCGCGGCGCAGCGGCCTGGTTGTGCGGAGGGGGCGGCTGGCGCGTGTGCTGCTCTGCAGGGCGCCCCACCTCGACCTCCTCAGATATGGCGTCGTCGACGCCCTCCACCGCCGCCGCCGCCGCCGCAGACAGCCGCTGCTGGCCGCGCTGCAGCTGCTGTTGCCGCGGCGCTGGAGCCGCGCCGCTCAGGGCTGCGGCAGGCAGGCTGCTGCTGCCCGCTGCAAGCGCGCCTGCACGCAGCGTGCGCGGCGCCGGCCACCAGGCGGCGGCCGGTGCCGTGTATGCGGTGTGGCGGCTAGTGTAGCGCGCGGCGCCACGTCCAAGAGACTTCTGCATGTTTCCGTAAGCAATGCAGCTTCAGCGGGGGTATTGGCTTGGCCTCGAGTGCGTGTTGTGCTCGCGGTTGTGTTCAGGAACAGGTGGCTTGCGCAGAGGAGGATACTCAAAAACTTATATGTGTGTCATTAATCAATCCTCGGCTGTTTGTCTGCACGAATGAGCATTCCTGATTTTTGCTGACGCCTCAAAGACACAGTTGGGACAAGTCCCGTCGCACATGCTGCTGCTAGTGCTTGTGCTGCTTGTCTGCGGCCCCATGGCCCCTCGCTGGTCCGGCAGCCAGCAATGCTGCATCCCATGTGCAGTCCTGCCGTCCTGGCCCTGCCGCACTCGTGCACATGAAGCAGGGCAAGAGTAGCGCTCGCACAGCTGGTGACACGGGCACAGGAGTTTGTCACTCTGGGCTGGACCCGTCAATCGACAGCCTCAACGCCGGAAGGGCCGCCGTCGTGGCACCGCTGAAAAAGGCAATGTCCCGGGACCCGTGCAGCGCCCTGGGATGTGCTCAGCCATCAAAATTTTACGCCTACAACCAATGCATGTTCTGGCGTGCCAGGTGCCTCCAATCATACGGTCCAAGACAGGCTCTTAAAAACCTCCACACAATTTCGAAAACAGTACCAGATCAGGTCAATTGTTTCCCAAAAATGAAGGCCGAGCAGTGACGGGCGGCACCAACGCCCCTGCAGGGCTGACCGCGCTCCCAGCCCGCTCGCTGGCGACGGCGCGCCTGGGAGAAGGGCTGTGCTCACATTGGCCCCACAAAACAACTCTGTCGTCTGGTGGCCCGCAACAGCTCTATGCATAATCAGCAAGTGCTCGCTTTTCACCACGCCCTCGGCCCTCCACAACAGGCCCACTCTGCTGGCCCCCCTTGGGGACGTTTGGCCAGTCGCACCAGATGAGATCAAATCAGGCCGCCAGATCTCGCGCAGTCGGACCGCCTCCGATCACGCCCCAGGTCACGCCGATCCGCCTGGCACCGTGAAGGACTCCTGGATGACCCGCAGCTCGCGCTCGTATTTGCGCCACTGGCGGGCGGTGGGGGTGGCCACCGATATGAGGAACAGCCGGTTGCCCACCGCGGTCGCAGACACCAGCCTGGGGGCAAGCGCGGCGGCATGAGGCAGGCAGAACGGTTGGTGGGGACGACGACGCGGTCAGCGTCATAAATTCGGTGTGTATAACAGATGCAGCGTGGCCGTTCTTGCGCGACGGCTGACGCCATGGGGTAGTCCTCGGGGCGGCTAGCATCTTGCATCCCGGCCCCTCCCACCCGCGGTCCCCTACACACGCCTAGCGCTACACGCACGCACTCGCACCAACACACACACGGACGCGCGCGCACACACTCTCTTGCTCCCATCCACACGCACGCTCCGGCGTCCCGTCCCCTCACCTGTGGGGCTTGACCGCCCACTGGTAGTAGCTCAGGCCGCCCCTGGTCACCACGGCCTGCTCCAGCACGTCCCCCTCGTCCAGGGGGCGGCCGTAGAGCTCGGGGGCAAAGCCGGCAATGATGCGGTCTGGGGGGCCCAGATCCTCAATGCGCACATCTAGGGGAAGGTGAGAGGGTAGGGGGCCGAGAGGCGGGGAGGGGTGTGTGGATGGGTGTGCGAGGGAGTGTGCCCGTGGGTGTACGGGTGCATATGCACGTATGTGTTTGTGAAGGAGGGAGAGGTTGTGCTTGGGAGAGAGAGAGTGTGTATGTGGGGGGGGGGATGTGCGCGTGTGCAAAATACTCACTGCAGCCTTTGGGCGCTGCAGAAATGCAGCATTCCAAACTGCTGATTCATGGACCGTTGGCGCGAGGCAGCATGTCTTGGTGGAGGCGGACACCACAGGCGCCGAGTGCAGGGATGCGAGCGGTCAAGAATATGGGTGGATGGGCACGGCCGCACCTGCGTTGAATCCGATGTCGGCGAACCGCGCCACTGGGGCCACCACCACGACGAGGTTGCCCTGCTGCCGCTCCCCAAAACGAAGGTCGATCTGGGACGCAAGGGGTGGGATGAGGCAAGGCGGGGCCACGTGGGGCCAGGCAAGGCGGTGCAAGCAAGGGGGCTGGAAGATGGGGGCTGGCTGTACCGCGGTGGCCGGAACGCGGCATGGCCGACTGTTGAGGACGGTCAGGGATCGCCTCTTGTGGAGGCGTGCAGGGGGTGGGCAGGGGGGGAGGGCGGCGCACAGCCGCGCGGCGCGGGTGGGTCGTCCCGAGATGAGCGTGACGCGGCGCCGACAGTTGGGGTGATCGCGGCCAGGGGAGGGGCGCACCTCTGCGCCTCCCAGGTCAGCGATGGACACCGGGGTCTCGTCCCAGCCCGCGGGCACCTTGAAGCTGCGCGCAGGACGGGGGGGAGGGACACGGGCGGACTCTGAGAGGGGGGAAAGGGGCACGCGCGCGGTCGGCGGAGGCAGCGCAGCTCGAGCCTTGCGGGCCGCGCGCCGCGGGGGCCGCCCGCGGAGGGCTTTGCGGCGGCGGCTGACAAGGCGCCCGCGCCGGCGCGCAGGCTGGTGAGAGCCCATGGCTTGCGGACCAGGCGCCTGCTAGGCTGCTGAGAACATGACAGATGTGGTACGCAGGGCTGCGCCCCACCCACCTGTATCGCGGGATCTCGCTCCAGCCTGATCCGGGCAACGGGGCGACGGTGCGGCGGGTGCGGCGGCGGCGGCGGTGTTGGTGGCGGCGGGGTGAACCAATGAGAGGCCCGGCCGCGACAGCCGAGGCCGCGGCAAAGGAGGTGCCAGCCCTGGCTGGCCTGGGCACACTGCACGCTTTGCTGCCTAGCAAGAAGACAACAAGCCGGCCCTGTTGGGAAGTGGGCCCCGCCCCTTCCCCTGCATAATGAGAGGGCCTGCTACCGTACTCACCAACGCCATGACCGCCTGCAGGAAAGACGAGGTGTCCAAAGGGGGTGGGCGCGCACACATGTCACGAGGCGGTGCCGCAGGGCGGGCTCGTGCCGATCCGAACTGCTGGATCCGCCGCTGCTTTTGGGTCCCATCTTGCGCAGTGCGCACGTCGTGTGGCTGATGCCTGGGGGTCCGCACCCCACCGCATGGAACCGCAGCCGCCGCCGGCCACAGGTGGGCGCGACGCAGTCCGCTCGCCCCGTCCGCCAGCGCCTCGCGCGCAGGGTTCCCCCGCGAGGCGCGGGCGGCGCCCGGTCCCTCACCTGACTTGCCCTCAGGGCGCGAATAGGTGTAGAAGCCCTCGCTGTCGGGCTCGGCTGACACGCCTACAGCCGGGGGTTGGGTGCCGCGATGGGGTTCGAGAAGGGCGGCCGTTGCGGGCCGGCAAGCGGAGGTGGCTCTGCAGCTGCAGCTGCTGCCGGCAGCCCATTGAATATTGTGGGCATGTGGCGCGTGGGAATGCAAGGGCATGCACGTGTGCATGCCCAGGCACGCTTGCCCACAAGTGCGTGTGAACTTGTTTGTTTGTTTGTGTGTGTGCGTGTGCGTGCGTGCGTGTGTGTGCGTCTGTGTGCGTCTGTGTGCGTCTGTGTGCGTCTGTGTGCGTCTGTGTGCGTCTGTGTGCGTCTGTGTGAGTGAAAAACAGAACCCTTTACCATAGTCATGGTTGAGCCACTCACCAGGGATGCGCCCGGCAGTCAGCCCCTGCACAGCCCGCGCGTCCAGGGCGGCCAGGAGTCCAGGTGCTGCCGCGACGAGGCCAAGCGTCATGCGCCGCGTTAGCGCCGCATCAGCACTCAACATGGAGGTGGCAGGCGCATACTGCTCCTGCAGCCTCAGCGGCTGCTGATCCTGCTGCTGCCGGGACGATTGCTGCTGAGGCACCGCGCTCGCCGTGCACAGGCGCTGCGGCGCGCGCACGACTGGCTGTCCCGCGCGCGCCGCTGGGACCGTGCCAACATGGCGCGCTTCCGAGGACACCGTGTGTGTTTTGAGATGCTTCATGGAGCAATTGAGGAGCGCTTACAAGAGATCGGTATGCCTACGACTTCTTGGCTACGTGTGAGCCTGTGGCACAACGATGAAGGGCAAGACGAGGACCAAGCAGACGCGACACAATGAACAATGTGCGTGCGACTGAGCAGTGCTCTGCGACAGGGACGTCGCGTACGGTAGATCCCGGCGTGGGGGCCGCTGGCCACAAACGACAAAGGCAAACGGTGCGCCAACTGATAAGAGTCCCAGATGATTGCCTCATGAATCCGATGCAACGGATCCAGTTCTCGACCAGCTGTGCCGAGTGGCGAGCAAAAGAGGGGCGGCAACCACTGGCCGCTGGCGGGCAGCGGCATTGCTGCAAGGGGATCGTATGGATTGCAGGAATGGCTACAAACTTCTGAAGTAAGTTCAAGTCTGCCTTGTCTGTAGTGTCATCCAACACATGGCATGGCTGAGCTGCCCACGTTGTGCCACTGTGCCTGAGATGCGTGTAGTCAACTGTGGTCAAAGCAACTCCAACACTGATACTATTTGTGGATCAGGAGGGAGTCAATCCCGTCCTCACCTTCTGCGCGCACGGCCATGCGTATAAAGTAACAGTCATTTACCTGGGGGCAGCGCTGCGTGCACACGGCATTCGGTTGCGTGGGCCACGGACCACAGGCCGCAGCAAGCCATGTTTGCGCGTTGATGTAAACATGACCCTACTGACTTGCCAGGTGCAATCAGGCTTTGGACCGTTGCGATGCCCTGTAATGTGGTCCTTTTACTTGCATCAGCAAGGCTTCCTGCATGTACCCACCAACCGGCTGCGGACAGCCGTCGCCCACAGCCTCGTGGCAGCCTCGGCCGTCCGGACTCAGTGATTGTGGAGCAGCTGGCAGTGCCTGGCCGAGAGCCCAGGATCGTCCATGTAGTTGAGTTCAAGTACACCATGGATTATGGCTTGAACAGGCGGTGCATGACATAGGGTGTATGACATAGCACATAGCCGAGAGCCAACACAGCTCGCTCATGGATCGGCTGTCCACAAAGCCGGGCCTGCACGTGATACCCCTGGGGGTCACGGGGGGGATGCAGCAAGCCCTCGGCCCGACACTGCTGCAACTGGGAGTGGAGTGGAAGGATCTAGCCCGCGTGCGCCGTGACCTGCATGGCAGTGCTTTGTGCCACACCCACCGGCTCATACTGCACGCCGGGCGCTCCAGGAGGGCGGCAGCGTCGGCGGCAGGGCGCGCACGGGGCGGCACGGAAGCGGCAGCGGCGGGAGCCTCCGTGGTGTTACATGCATGACCATGCGGGTGCCGCCTTTGTCTGCTCAGACCAATTGGCGCAAGGTGTGCGCGAGGCGGCACCGCAAGGGTCAACCTAAGGGCGCAACCTGAGGGCCCCCAAACGCTTTGGGGGGGGGGGGCAGGGGTCCCGGACAGCAGTGGGGCAGCGGGGAAACGGGCGCATGTCCTGACACTCACGCCCTTCCTTATAACATACCGGGCGCCCAGCGCCCGCTCTACTCTACTCTACCCACCGCGCGATGGACCAAAACCACGCGAACCGCCAATCGCCTCCCAGTCCCTGGCTGGTTATGGCACCAAGCCAGCTCTGCCCTTTGGGATGGTTGACTGCGCGTACGGCTGGTGTGCCGCACGTGCACGCCAGTTGCTCCATCATTCGATCAAGAATATCATCACGCCTAGACAAGAAATCAGCACTGCACTGCACGCAGCATGATGGTGCACGCAGCACTGTGGTCCAGGCTGCAATCCAACGTTTGCGGCGATCATTGCTCTCCCTGTCACCTCCGCTTCTTGACTGATCTGATCTGGTGCATGCAGCAGTCTGATGCATCCAGTTTCCAGTAACCTCATGCCTGCAGCAAATTAATGCGTACTGCGCACGTTGGTGACCAGATCGACTGCAACAGCCTTGTCGGCGCTGCATGTGACTCTCGCATGCTTTCAAAGCCCAAGTTGGGGCTTGATACAGTCATCTACAGTGCACAAAGTGGTGTTCAACCGACGGCGCGCAGGAGGTTGGCGCATGCTTCCTTGGGAAAGCCATGCGGGCACGGCTGCAGGGCTGGACTGCAAACATTGCTGCGCGGTCAAGCATGGCTGTAACGGGCTGCCGCTGCCAAGCACGGAACAGAGGTATGTATGTTGTCCTCTTGCTGTAGGTACATTTGCTGTAGGTACACAACCAAGAAATCTTGCGTGCCAAGACCACAGCAGCCAAACACACCACAAATCAATTGACTCAGCCCAACCACAAGCTGACCCGAGGTGCAATGCGGCGTGCTTTCTACTCCGTCCAAGCTCACACGTCCGCATCCCCGGCCGGCAGATCCCCGCCGCTGCCGTCGCCTGCCGCCCGCAGCGCCCGCAGCGCGCGCAGCGCTGGCAGCTCCGACAGCGCCGGCAGAACCGCTGCCTGCTGGAGCAGGACGAGCATCACCGCTGCAAGCGCCAGCGCCGCCAGCACGCTCGCCGCCCCCGCCCCCGCCCGCGTCAGCCCGCGCGCCCCACCGCCGCCCGGCGCGCCGCCCGAACCAAACCTCGCCGACCCCGGGGCGCGCCCGCCACGCGCCGCCCGCGGCGTGCGCCCGAGGGGCGTCATCGGCGGCGCGGCCTCGCTCCATGCGTCCACCTCGCCCGACGCGCCGCCCGCCAGGCACGCCCCGCTGCCGCTGCCGCCGCTCGCCACCAGGGCCGCGGCCAGCTGCTGCGGCTGCAGCTGCTGCGGCTGCGGCGGCGGCTGCTGCTGCTGCCCCGACCCGTCCCCTGCGTAGCCCAGCGAGTCCAGTCCCGCGGCGTTGCTGAGCTTGTGGCTGCGCAGCGCGCTGGGCAGCGCGCGGCAGGGCACCTCCTTCGGCCGGCAGACCTTGATCTTGCGGCGCGTGCTGAGCTGCAAGAACTGCACACAGGGGCGCAGCGCGACGCGTAGCGGCAGCGGCAGGCCGACCATGTACACCGTGGCGAGGCGCGACGGGTAGCAGCGCTCCAGCAGCGCCGCGGCGCGCTGGTACGCGGGGCGCTGGCGCAGGGCCTGCGGCGGCGGGGGGACGGCAGCAAGCCCGGGGCAGGGGCGGCGTCAGCCCGCAAGCTCCTGCAGGCGCAGCCGCTTGGTGCGCCTTGAGGTGGTGGGATTCAGCGTTGAACCCGACAGGCCCGCCGAGACAGAGGCAGCGGCGTTTGCGTGCGTGCGTGCGTGCATGTGTGTGTGCGTGCGCGCGCGCGTGTGTGTGTGTGTGTGTGTGTGTGTGTGTGTGTGTGTGTGTGTGCGCGGTGGGTGGGGGTGGCTCACCCCTGGCGAGGAGATTCCCGTGCTGTCTATGACGACGTTGATTGTCTCGAGGCAGTCGTACTCCGGCATGAGGACCCGCACGCCATACTCCACCTGTGAAGGGTGAGATTGAGATTATGCTGCGTGTGTTTATGGCTGTGCGTGCGGGGTGTGTGTGTATGTATGTGCGCGCGCGTGCGCGCATGCGTGACTGCATGAGTGGGTGCGTGAGAGTGTGCAAGTGCGTGATGTAGTGAGGTGTTGCCGAGCGGAGGGGCGATGGCACATGCCGAGGGGGAGGCTTGAAAATGGTCGGTTCAGCCCGAATCACGGCTGCACTGACCGTCGCACCCGGCACGCACGCGGGCACAGACACTGCACTTGGGAGGCGAGCCGTCGCCCCCCTTCTGGCAGAGCCTTGGCCGTTGGGCGGCGCGGCGCCTGGCCCCCTCACGTTTGATATCACGGCCCTCGAGACGACGTCGGCGCCATGCGCGCGGCTGGCGTTGACCGCGGCGCGGTTGTCGATCATGAGCCACAGCCTGCCCTCGGGGTCGGGGCCCTGCGATAGGTGACACCAGAGGGATGCAGGGCCTCTGCGTGCTGGGCCTGCATGCAGTTGTCTGGTCTGGTGCTCAACCACCATGGGGCACTCCAGTGATGGGCAGACCGCCTGCCGGTGGCGGCGGCCTGTCAAGTAACCCCTGCCAACACTTGCCAGGCTCGCCGTCCCACCCCACCCCCACCCCACCAAGCACGCGCTGCCGCCCATCCCAACCGCCTGCCCTGGCGTCACCCTCCCCTCAGGCGCGTGGTGCCCGCTCACCTCCCACCACGTTATGCGGCTCCAGGCCTCCAGGTCGCTGGCGCTGAGGAACGAGTACTTGGGCCACCACACCACAAAGTCGCGCACTGCAGGGGTTTGTTCGTGGCGCGAGGCAGCGGCCAGAAGTGGAGAGGCGACAGGGCTGAAAGCAGGGGTACGCTAGCGCGTGCAGCATTCCAGTGTGCGCGTGAGGGAACGCAGGCGCCGGCGGCTAGACGTGCAAGTGGGATGGTGCGGGAGGCCAGCCATCCAGCCGGCAGAGCGGAGGGCCGCTGGGCCGGGCCCGGGAGTTGGCGTGGCTGGCCACATGCGGATGCATGGGGGATGTAGGGTCTGGCTGTCTGGGGTCGCGCCCGCAAAAGCGGCTGGCTGGCAGGTCACTGGGATGTGTGTGCGCGACGATTGCGCCGGGCGCACCGTTTGCCAGGGTCTTGTCCATCGCTATAAGCGCCTCCTTCAGACTGCGCGCCTGAGGTTGGAGTGTGCACAGCACACGCGTGCATGCGCATGTGTGAGTGTGCACCAAAACGAATCATTGCCCTGGTCGTACCCCCCCCTTTCCCCATCCCCGTAACCCGAAACGCACCAGCACATGCCTGAACATGCACAGACGTTGTAAGATCTCACCCCTCAGACCTGCCCCAAACCCCTCCCTCCAACTGCAACAGTACGGGCACGCACTTGCACTTGCACTTGCACTTGCACGAGCGTGCGTGCACACACACACACACACACACACACACACACACACACACACACACGCACGCGCACGCACGCACGCACACACGCGCGCACGCACGCGCGCGCGTACATGTAGACACACACACACACACATACCTGCAGGACGCTGTAGCAGAGTGCGTATCTCATGAGCTCGTGGTTATCGTCATCAAACACCTCAGGGGGCAGCTCCAGGGACTGGCGCAGGGGGCGATATCAGAGGGGTTGGGCGGACTCAGCTGGGTTCCATCTCAGGTGAAGGCACCGCCCGATCACACGTTCAAGGCCTTGCTGGGCCACGGGCAGGGGCATGGCCCCAGAGCGCCGGCCGCCACAAGCATGCAGCCAGGGTGGTGGCGCGCGGGGGTCGAAGCAGGGCCGAGGGCGCCGGCGGGGCGCGCGGAGCGAGGCCGCACCTGCTGCTGTAGGCGGCCGCGCAGCAGCAGCAGCCACTCCCTGTAGACGCCGCAGTAGTCCTCCAGGGAGCGCGGCACCCGAGGATCGACGCGCGGCACGCTGGACAGGCCCAGCTGGAGCGCGCGCACTGCGGGGGGCGGGGTCGGGAGGAGGGGCCGCGGGCGCCTGGTCGCAATGCGCGAGGTGTGAAAGAGGGTAAGGGCGCTTGCTGGCAGCGCTGCCGCCATGAGGTTGCCTCGCGGCATGACATTGCCGTGAGGCGTGCTGCCGTGCTGCGGCGGCGGCGCAGAGGCGGGCAACATGGCAAGGGCCGCGGACTAGTGCTCTTGAAAATCGCGGGGTGGCAGCCGGCCAGACGACCAATCACCGCCCCCTGCGCCCAACCTTCGGTGGTGGCCTTGTCCTCTGTCGGCTCCCCCAGCCGCCGCTGCTCTGCCTCCCGCACGAGATTAGCCGCCAGCCTCACCGCCTGCGCCACCACCACCGCCGGCGCAAAGCCGTGCGCGACATGGAGCGCGCCGCGCGCCGCGGCGACCGCCCACACGGGCTTCCGCCGGCGCCGGGCCGCGCCGGCGAGGAGTGTGAGGGGCCCCTCGTCGCTGCCACTGCCACTGCCGCTGCCGCTGCCACTGCCACTGCCGCTGACCAAACCGTCGCTGAGGAGGGCGGCGGCGCTGCCGCCCGAGCGTGGCAGCAGGTGGCCGGCGAGGGCGGCGATTTCAAGGATTGTGGCGAGGGTAGGCGCCACGCGGTGCAAATGGCACACCAGGATCGCCTGTACGGTGTGCAATCAAGAGGCCGCCAATAGTTGGCGAGGGCTGGAACGCGCGTGGCGACCGTCGGGACGAGTGGGCGAACGCACTCCCATGCGGCGCAGCAGCGCGCGCGCGTGCGACGCGCAGCTCGCAAGCCCCCTGCGCACTTTCAGCGTGCATGATGTCCCGCGCAAGAGCTTTATTCCTAATCGCATTGCTTTCAATACTATGTGCAGAGCAGAACGCCGGCTAGACCTTGCCACGCAAGCACGATTCCTTGGCACAAGTCCGCAATAAAAAGCGATTGCTGCGTATGAAAGCTGCAGCTTGGTTGTGCTGCATCGCAATCGTTCCGATTGGCAAGCAATCAAACGCCAGTCCAGGGTGCGAGTCCAGAAGATGATGGAACTGGTGCACGGGTGGACACATACAAACTTGTCTTTCAGAAAGGGTTCCATAATCAATCCTATCTTACCCCCATTCCAAGCGTTGAGGCCAGCACTGTATCGTGTCGTGCGACCGATCCTGCCAGGGCACCTCTGCGGTTCCACCTTGCTTGCACACTCCCTTACAGCGCAAATCGGACAAGCCTCACGTATAGACCAATAGTGCACCTTTGTGCTCATGAGGCTTGTATCGCCTGCAGGCAAACGAACAGCCAGTGGCGCCTGGACACGGCGGATGGATCAATGGCTATCCAGCTGGGCATGCGTGACAAACCTGGCGCGGCCAAAATGCGTTACCAGAGGCGCGCGCGACACGTCTCGCTTCTGGGAGCAGCGACTGGTTGCTGCAGCCTGATGCTGCTGGTTTCAAAGATTACGTTTTCGCATGGTTGCGTTTATCACCGCGACTGCTGACGGGGCACCCACAGAGTGTGTCTTGCTCAGCAGGCAAGCATGCCCGCTTCCCGTACTGTATCCCGCCCTACGCACAAGGCCTGCTCTCAGACCTCGGCTTGCATGCTTTTACTGTGCAACTTATCCCTCTGCTTTGCTGTCAGGCACAGCCTTACAGATATTGCACGGCAATGCATTATTCAACACGCGGCAAGCTGGCACGCGCATGCTTCACCAGCTGCTTGCACAAGCGACCGGGGGCTTTTGCAACAGACGCACGCCAAGATCAAGGCGCCTTTGGGCGGTGCAGCTTTAGGCACGCGGCTTCAGAACCTTTGTCCTAGTGCTGAAGTGGGTCTGGGATGGTCAGCTGGCATGCCGCAGGTCGGAGGTGGCGAGGCGTTCGCCGGGTCAGCCGCCAATCAAGTCGGCTTGGAGTCGATCAAGCTGATGGCGACGTCGGTCGCCACCAGCGGGCCCCGCATCACAAGCTCTGTAAGACAGAGTTGCGCAGGTTTGCCCGCCTCAATGCACTGCAGCGTGGAGCTGCAGGACCATTTGTAAAGTGTCGCGCGACCAAGGGGGCCGCTTGTGGGCATGGGTCATCACTCCCAGATTGGGTTTATGCTAGGGTTGTCGTAGGATCTTGGCGCAAACCAGTTCTTACAAGAGACATAACCTAAATGGCATCATGCATGCAGTGAGGAGCACGCCGTTACCCTGTGGTGACTGAAGGAGCCCACCACTGTAGACACCCACACAGCAAATGTGGCATGCAGCGGTGTGCACAAAGCGAGTGGGGTATCCCTGCCCGCTACAAGTTCGTACATTCGATGTGTCTCGGTACACAGAGCATGCACCGAGCTTTGCGCCTTACTCATATGTGTGCGCCACTGTGCTGGTGTCTGTCAAGTGAACATCACAGCACTGGTTTCGAGGCTCTGGACAACCACATTGCTCATGTTTCAAATTTGCATATGTTGTTATTGTGTCACAACTCAACCCATTATTTGGACATGCCTTTCTTACAATTGGTGTTGTGGCTGACCGGCGTAAGGCGCACACCGGCGCTCTTGCTGCTGTTCCTCCTCGAGAATTCCGCCTTGTTCTGGCCTGCCCAAAAGACCAATGGCGGTCGCCGCCTGTCTTGGTCGACCTTGCAAACTCAGATGGCAGCCGCTTGAGACAATGTATCACGTGACATCCTTGCCGATCCGTGCTTGTGGATTCGCACACTTTGTAATTTTGTCACCAGCTTCCACCCAGCTCGGCTTTTGGCCTAGGGATCGGGGCAGGGTCGAGGTCGCGGCTATCTGGCTGGTGATCCTAAATATAGGGATATTAAGACATATTTGAATGTCTGGAACACCTGCAATCGAGGATCGCAGAGTTTGACCGCGATCTGCCGCCTCAAAAATGGGGCCGCCCCGCCGGCCGGGCGGGCTACCATTGGTTCTGATCGTGACCTCAATATTATCAACTTACACCGCAGCGCTGGCACCTAGCAGTGAAGGACTTGGTGAGTGGCGTTGCGGCGGGCCTGTCGCGCCGCGCGTTTGAGCGCGCACGGCCAATTATTTACCATGCGCACGATCGCAATCCAGCCATGCCGCACTGGGTCTTAAAGCTTTCCAAGAATTCTCTCCAACAGCAGGCGTCCCCACC